CACTTGAGCCACAGGCGCTGAGCCAGCCCCATCTCTTAAAAGAAAAAAAAAAATCCAGGTTTTGTAAGAGATTTCCAAGTCCCTGCACCTGGTTGAGGTATCAAGGAAGGCTTCCCTAAGGGAGTGGAACCTGAGCTGAGAACTCAGGGAGCAGAGGAGAGAGGGGGTGAAGGTGGGGAAGGGATGGGGGTGTGGACACTGTCTCCTAGGGGCAGCCCACCCAAGGCCTCCTGTGTGTCCAAAAGTTTGGCTTTAATTCAAAAGGGACAGTTTGGGCCTTTGCTGGAGAGTCTGGTGGGATTTTGAGATCTAGAAGGCAAGAGGTTTCACCTCTACCTGTCATCCCCTGGACCTAGCACCTAGCAGGTGCCTGCTGATGTGCCTGGAACTATGTCCACTGGCCCTGCCTCTGCTAGGGTCTTGCTGCCCCTCAATTTGGGCCTTGCTTAGATACACTCTGAATTTATTTATTCATTTGACAGCTGTTCCAGTCACTACTGCTGTGTAACAAATTACTCCATGAAACTAAATGCTATAAAACAATGATACTATTTTGCCCTTGGTTTTGTGGGGCAGCAGTCACTGGGGAAGGGCTCAGCTGGGCGACTCTCACCAGCAGGTAAGTTTTGGGCAGGTTGGCTGAGCTGGACATCCACGCTGGGCCTCTCTTGTGGTTGGTGTCCAGGAGCCCAGCTGGGCTGTGGATCAGACCATTCACATGTGGTACCATTCCTATTGTCCACTTTTGGGGAAAGTGGTCATAAGCCTCTCCCCATTGTCAAGGAGAGGGGAGGGGGTCCCTACCTATCAATGGGAGGGATGGCAAGGAAGTTGTGGCCTTTCTCAAAAGCATCACACTTAACTAAAACAAAGAGCCAGCCTGGGGTACAGGATGAAAGAACAGCTCACTAGAGTGTTTATGCTGTGCCCCTGGCTGATGGGGATGCTTTTGTTTCTCAACTAACCCCCCATGGGCGTTTATACCCCAGGGGTTATCTGGGACTAGAGGGAGGGGCCCATCTAGGGCACTGCCCTGGCTGGGGAGAGGTCTCCTGAGTTCCCCTACAGCTCCCCCGAGGATGGGCTGTCCTCAGTACAGGCTCCCTGTCCTGCATTTCTTAGTGAGCCACAGAACAGAGGAAAAAACAGGAATAGACAAGGTCACTGCCAGATGACTGGAGAGGCCCAGGCGGCTGCACTGGGCTCAGAGCTCAGCTCTGGCTCAGGCTGGAGGCTGAAGTCTGTGTTACCAGCCAAGGGATCTCAGCCAGTTCTGTCACCTGTCCGAGTCTCGGTTTCTTTGTCTGTAAAATGGGGCCATGATGACAACACTTACCTCCTGAATTTATCATAAGGGCTAAATGAGATGAGCCTTGTAAAGAGCCCAGTATGATGTCACCTGCTAATATTATGACAGTGAATCGGCATAGTCCCAGAAGACTGTCCTTGTTCTGGGAAAGGGCTGAGGCTGGGAGCAGCCCCAGGCATAACACCAAGGCAGGGACAGAGCCCTCTGGTCCTTCCGCTCCTACTGTCAGGCCTGCGACCACCAACACCAGAACAGGCTAACCCTTGGGTGGGGCTTGTGGGTTGGTGGGGGGACATGGCTCTTAGACCTCTGATAGGAAGGGGGTGGGGGTGTGAAGGAAAAGATTTGAATCCTAGCTGCACCATTACAGGCTGTGTGCCCTTAGGTGGGATGCTTGACCTCCCTGAGGGTACCAGGACTGAGTGGGCAGTAGTTCAGCGGGGCAGAGGTGCAACACTTCGCTTGCAAGAAGTCACCAAATATTTGTGAACTGAAATACAGTCTCCCACACTCACCTAGGGAGTGGCTGAGGTAGGATTTGAACTCAGGCGGTGCCGGGCTCCAGCATCTCTCCAGCCCCTGCTGGGGGACTCACAGGTATGAATGAAGGACTGAGTGAGAGCCAACATGTGGTGCCAGAGGGAGCAGCTGGGCAAAGAGCCCGTGGCTGGTGGTCCCTCCAGGCTGCAGGCTATAGGCCATCGGACTGGGAATTCCAGCAATGGGCTGCTGTCCACACAGAGGAGTAGGGTCAGGCAGTCACCCCCCAACCCCCCCATCCCCTACCCCCTGCTGTGGCCACAGTGCCCGGACTGTGTGACCGCCACAGCCAGTCTTTCTCTCAGCGGAGAGGACAGCAAAGGAAAGTTCCTGAGGCATCTCACAGACTCCAGCAAAGTTACCCTCCAAGAAAGACCTGGATGGCCCAAACGTCCATTCTCCCTGACTTGCTCAGACGTGCTGAGTCACAGCCTTAGAAACCAGAATCTCAGAGAAAGAGAAGTCCAGAGTTTGGCTGAGAGCCACATGCCAATCTGGCCAAAGAACAGGTGCCATGTGACCTTTGCTAGGAACTTCAAAGAAGAAACAAAGTTAATTCTCAGTCCGCAGCCTGGGCCGTGTGTCAGACAAGGCTCAGCTGCGTGTGGAATCCAAGCCACCCCTGAGAACTTCTGTTCTGATGCAGAAGGAAGGAGCTATAGACCCCACACCTGGGGCAGTTCCTGCCTTAGGGACAGAGCAAGACAGGGGGCTGGGGCCACTGGTACATATGCACTTGAACTTCACCCCATGAAGGGCTTGGCTCCCCCCACCATGCAGTCTGCAGCCGCCCTGGACCCCGACAGCCCAGGGGCCTGCAGGAGTCCATTGTTGCTTGGATATAAATACTTAAGTCATGAAACCAAGAGAAAAACATTTTTGGAGCTTTTTATCCCTTCAGGATCATGTCTTACATTGGAATCTTTTCTTGCCCATCAGAAAAGTTTATCCTAGATTTGGGAGAGAATGTCACTCTCTAAACAGCAGGTGCATGTCAACCAGGAGCACCTCCCTCCCCTGGGACCAGGTTTGCACTGTTCCCATGGGGCTTCTTGTTTGTCTCTCCGCAGGGACTTTGCCCTCACGTGCCCCCGATTTGGATCCTGCTGTCTTTCCTTCACGTTTCTGAAGGCCACGCTCTGGTCTCTCCTGGTCTGCCTTTCCTAGAAGGTGTCT